TATTGGGTTCTCTCATGCTGCTGCCACTCAGGGGATTGGTCTACCTGAGCCAGATGGCTGCTGCTGCATGGGGGAGGACTCCACTCTGGGATCCCACCAGCTATTCTCTCAGTTCTCTCCCCAAAGCCTCCATCTCCAGTCTCTCCTCAAGTGTCTCTGGACCACTCTGCACTGGCTTTAGCCAGGGATCTACTATCTGTGGCTGCCACTGTCTCAGCTGTCAGGCTTTAGCACCATCAGACCAGGGCAGAGTCCCTCCTGGTGGGGGGCAGGGGGTGTTGTGTCCTCTCATGCTATTGCCACTCAGGGGAGTGGTCTGCCTGAGCAAGATGGCTGCTGCCATATGGGAGATGAATCAGCACCAGGATCCTGCCGGCTACTCTCTCAGTTCTCTCCCCAAAGCCTCCTTCTCCAGTCTCTCCTCAGGCATCTCTATCCCACTCTGCCCCAACCTTTGCAGGGGACTGGGGTAAGTGGCTGCAAATAAAAATTTATGTGCTGGCCCTTTATACGGCTCTTTGCATCTCTAGCCACCTGTCTCCGGCAAAGAGCAACCCTGCCATTTTTTGCATTTTTAGCTGTTATCTGTGTACTTTTTGGGCTCTAAAAATCTGTGCTGTAAGCTGTAGATCCCTGCTTATCTCAGGGGGATCCAACTGGCCATTTCAATATCCTTCCGGTGCTGCCACCCATGGGTGCCCCGCCTGCCTTCTTGAGTCTCTACTGCACTCCTCCCTAGTTAGGTTGCGCTAAAGCTGATTCTTCTGTCTGTCCGAGGTTATACAGCTCCTCTCTCGCTATTGTTCAGTTGTTCATTCAAGGTGATTTCTCTACAATTTAGTTGTAATTCCAGATTGGTCCTGGGAGGAGGTCAGTGTGACTTACACTCACGCCTCAGCCATCTTGATTCTGCCTGAAGAATAGAACATGATTCTATCATGTTGAAAACTGTTCGTAGTGCAGAACCCACCTACATCCTCCACTTCACTGGTTCACATATTCTCACACCCAACCAACTTTTCATTCCAACCACTAATTTGGACTACCTCAAATGTCTCCCTTATGCTGTTTGTTCTTGCAGATTCCTCTGTCTGGAACACCTTTCTCTCCATCTCCTTACAAACATCTCTCATCCTTTAAGAGCTGGCCCCCATAACCCAACATTCCTTTAGTCTCCTTCCCCTTTTTCTCAGCTGCCCTTTACCCTGAGCCCCTTCTTTATACTTCCTTCTGCATAGCTCTTTATCTTGGTATTTTTCATTGGGAATTTTAGCACTGGCTTTCTCATTTCTTCCTGTAGTCAGAAACTGTTTGTTTTACTTTTAATTTCTAGATTCCCTAGCACTGGGCCTGGCACATTATAAGTCAATAAATAATATTCATTGAATGAATGGAAGATGATTACATCAGAACCCCAACACATATTAACCCAATAAAATAGATTATCTTTACTAATGGAGAAACTAATACAGGAAGGCATGTGCACCAATAGTAATGTTAGCAGAACAAAAGTTAATGAAAAAAATAACTTAGGTGAAATAATCTTTCACTTGGAGTAATTGAACAAATGAGAGTCTCTGAATCATAACAAGTAAACATTCTCCAAACACAAACATCAAGCTTCCAATTTTGTACCACAGAGGATTTAGTTTTAAAAAATATATATATTGTATTTATTTATTTTTAGAGAGAGGGGAAAAAAGGGAGAAAGAGAGGGAGACCAACATTAATGTGCAAGAGAAACATCAATGAGCTGACTCTTGTATGCCCCCAGCCAGGGGCTTGGCCTTCAACGCAGGAATGTGTCCTAACCAGGGATCAAACTGGCGACCTTTCATATCATGAGATGATACCCAACCCACTGAGCCACACCAGTCAGGACAGGATTTAGCTTTTCTTATTTAAGAACTTAAAATCACCTTGGCTGGTGTTATTCGGTGGATTGAGCACTGGCCAGCAAACCAAGGGGTTGCTGGTTTGATTACCAGTCAGGGCACATGCCTGGGTTGCAAGCCAGGTCCCCAGTAGGGGGTGCGTGTGAGGTGACCACAGATTGATGTTTCTTTCCCTCTGGTTCTCCCTCCCTTCCCCTCTCTCTAAAAATAAATAAGTAAAATATAAATATAAAATCATTAGGACCAATTCTCCCCATATTCCACAAAACACTAGCACAATCAGGGACTGACCTAAAAACCTACTGGAAATGTGTGAAAGAGTTTTCTTTCACTTATGAAAAGCCTCATATATAGCTGACCATGTCACAATTAGCCAATACTTTTACACAGATTTATGTAGATGGGTCCTTTTCAAATAAGGAGGAAAAAAGGACCTAACTCTGCCAAGCTTAACCACCTGGGATGACGGACTTGTTCTTCTTGAATATTTTGTACTTTACACAATGCTGTGGACCTCCCAAGTCACTGGTTCATGCTCCATCCTCATGCAAAGGCAGCAATATTGTCGTAAAAGGAGTCCAAAGGCCAAAGTTCAGCTGGCGGCTAGTTCTCTATGCAAACAACCTCCCCTTCTATGGGTAGATTTTCTTCACTGCCCAACCAGTTTCTATTATTGGAAAGAACTGGGGAGAAAGAGAGTGAGGAACTCATTACTGATTATAGTTAAAACTAATTCAAAAAAGCAAGAATAGGAAGTAAAAGGAAGCAAATAACTTCTGGATAATGTTTAGAAATCCCTAACATATGTTATTTTTCTCTTGACAGCTCAAAAAACTTCAAAGAAATAAAATTCTCAGGAAACAAGAATAAGATTAACCTGCTATATTTGGAAAAATTAATGCTGACTTGAGTTTATACAAAGCACTAGGACCCAGAACTCTCTTAAAGATCTTAATGGGAAAAACCATGCATGAGCCAACCCAGGGCAAGCTGGAGTCCCTGAATTAAGAGTCCTACCCATAGGCCAACAGATAGGGCAGACAAGGAATGACTACAGAAAGGAAAAACAAACAAAAATGAAAGAAAATTCATTCCATCTGGTTTCAAACCAAATAAACCCTCCAACTCTACCCAAGGCAAAGGAGGATTGCCTTTCCACAGAATACACCAGACTATGGGTTTTTAAAAAAGATTGTATTTATTTATTTTTAGAGAGAGGGGAAGGGAGGAAGAAAGAGAGAGAGAGAGAAACATTGATCAGCTGCCTCTCATATGCTCCTGACTGGGACTGAACCTGCATCCCAGGCATGTGTCCTGACCAGGAACTGAACCTCTGACCTTTTGCTTTGCAGGACAACGCCCAACCAACTGAGCCACACTGGTTTTTTAAAAAATTGATCTGAGAGAGAAAGAGAGAGAGAGAATTGATTGGTCATTCCACTTATTGATGCATTCACTGGTTGCTTCTTGTATGTGCCTTGACCAAGCATCAAACCCACAACACTGATGCATGGGGACAACACTCCAACCAACTGAGCTACCCGACCAGGACCAGAGTATGGTTTTGATATCTATTTTCCCATGGTTACCCTTGAGCTCATTTTAATCCAAAATTAAAAAGTGATTATTTTGGCCCTGGCTAGTATGGCTCAGTGGACTGAGTGCTGACCTGCAAAGCAAAGGGTCTCTGGTTCAATTCCCAGTCAGGACACATGCCTGGGTTGTGGGCCAGGTCCCCAGTAGGGGGTGAGTAGGGGGCGTGGGAGAAGCAAACACACATTGATGTTCCTCTTCCTTGCTTTCTCCCTCGCTACCCCTCTAAAAATAAATAAAATCTTTTTTAAAAAAAATTTAAGTGATTATTTTGTGATTCAGCCAGCCTCTAGACAAGTGTCAGCACTGTGCCATAATGTTTCCTTTAGAGATGAGGTCATTTCTTGGGATAATTCAATTCAACAGCTAATTTTGGGAAGAACTGGCTGAATGATGGAGAGGGGCTTGTAGTCAGAGACCTGAGTCTGATTCCTGCCCCTACTACTTATTAACTAGGTTATCTTATGCAAAGAAGTCATAATTTCTGAGTCTTATTTTCCTCATATTCAAAACAGAACTAATAACTACTTTTGTAGGTCTCCAGTAGGAGGAAGAGATAGACTATATAAACGTTGGCACACCATAAACACTAGATAATAGCTCTTATTTACATGAGTTCCTACTAAATAAAGAAGCTGTGTTAGGCCTTGTGAAGGTGCAGGCGAATGTTCTCCTAGCAGCAAATGATAAAATTCCTGAATACACTGAGTGTTCAATGAGGAACACATGGGCAAGAAATTAAACTAACTAAAACTTTGGGAGTACTTACCCGTTTATAAAATGTTTAAGGGCTGAGTTAAGAAGACCCAATTCCTAAACAACTACCAAATAATTGGTAGAGATGAGAACCCAGGCATCCTAGCAACCAACAGGGTGACCTTTCTGCAGCCTCGGGACCTCCTCAAAGTGTCTAGGACGCTGTTTCTGGTCGGGATATTTTCTGGCGATTTGGCTCCTCACTCACCAATACCGCGTGTCTGAGACTAGGAATTTGGCCTCCACCCTGCGCTATAAGGCACGTTATTAAGGCCCCATTCTAGCCTTTAAAGGTTATTAAATGGCCTCTTGAACAGGGTTCACTTTTATTGGAGCGAAGAAAGGTACCGATCTCCTCTGTTTCTATGAATTCCATCCCTCTGATCGCGCCGCTTCCCCGCGGAGCTCGCCAGGCTTCGCAACGCCCCAGTCACATTTTTCCCGCCCTCAGCGTCTGCACGCACCGCCCGCCGACGCGAGCCAGTCGCAGCGCCCAAGAATCCGCAGGCTTCTGCGGACGGCCCACCTCCTTGCATTCATTGGGTAGGCTCCTCTTTTCCCTGCTCCCCCAATTTTTTTGCTTCCTCAACGATTGGACCTCGGCATTATTCATCCACCTCTTCTTACCAGGCACTAAAGTGTCCTCCGCCCGTTTTCTTCCCTAACCCGGGACATCTGACCCATCCTCTGCCCAGCTGGTATTGGGTGCACTTGGCAGTGGCCCGAGCTTTATAGGGACAGGCTCCTCCTCCTGCTACAATCCCACCCACCAGGCCCCAACTCTCCTCCACCTCCCCGGCTTCGCACTCGATCACAGAGCTCCCCCCATTTGTCATCGCCCCGATTCCTCCGCCCCTCCTTCCAACCGCGGTTCAGACGCCCTGGGCGCCCTGGCGGAACGGGAGACGTGCAGAGGGGATGCGCTCCATGAGGGCTCTGCAGAATGCTCTGAGCAGGGCCGGCAGTCACTGCCGGCGGGGAGGCTGGGGTCACCTGAGCCGGAGCCCCTTCGTTGGCGGGCGCGTCCGGCACCACCTCAGTGAGGCCGCGGCGCAGGGCAGGGAGACGCAGCACAGCCACCAGCCGCAGCACCTGGATCAGTAAGGCTTGCGCGACGGGTAGGGAACAGGCTCCCACTCACTAGCTCCCAAGTCCCATTCCTCGGGAGCGCATCTCATCTTCCCTCTCCTCTCCTCGCTCACGAGCCTGCGATGGGTTTTCCTTTAAATTTGGGGTTTTGGGTCCGCCGCGCTCGGGCGGTAAAATGCCGTCGCCCCGGGCGGGCGTTTGGTCAGGCCGGTCTTCGGGATGGTGCCTGGCCAAGGTGCGTACCTAACTGGGAATGTAAATGCGCGGAGTGTGTCTCGGTGCACGTGTCTGAGTGCAGGGCCGTGTGTGCACCACCCAACCTCACCGTCCCTTTCTCCCCGATCCTCGTGTATGTCTTAGGGAATGCGTGGATATGCAACAGCCTCCCTCCTCGAGCCTTGCTGTATTTGGGTCTGTCAGTGTGAGGTCTGTCAGTGTGTTGTGTCTGTGTTTCAGCGTGTCCTCGGCGTGTAATATCTGATGCGCCTGTATTATTGGTACGCAAGTACGTGCATGTGTCGTTTGCGTTAAGAGTTCAGTGTGTGCGTTATCAGGGAACCCTAATCTGTGAATAAAGGTGTTTTTCCGATTGGTTGTTGAATAAGGAAAATCTTTATAATGGGGGGGAGGTTCATAAGACTCAGATTTCCCATCAGATCCATTATTTCTGCTGCTCAACCTTACCGATCTAACGGGCTTTTTCTCTTACCTTGGTCTCTTATTCTGCCTGAGAGGCTGCACCTCTAACCCACACTACCTAAGAACACTTGGTGTCTGAGCCTCTTTTCTCCCAGACGCAGACGGAGCAGAGCAGGAAATTTTGCCCCCCTGGAAGTCAACCTAGACACTCTCCAGGTAGCCCCTGATCTATTATAGCAGGAACAGGAAATGGACCATCTCCCTTGTCGTTGACATCTACTGATGACTTTCAAAAAGACATGCACACCATAATTAAAGTAGCCAGACAGACACAGCACTACCTCACCACCACTGGAATCCCTGTCCTGACAGGTAGCAGACCAATAGGTATTATTTGTTTATCAATGGTAATTTTTATGCTGTACTTTTCCATCAGCCTCTGGAATCCCTGTCCTGACAAGTAACAGACCAATAGGTATTATTTGTTTATCAGTGATAATTTTTATGCTGTACTTTTCCATCGGCCTCTTCTCAAGGAGACATGGAATATTTAATCTTTAAAGAATAAACCCTCTCTCTCTTGGTCTGCCCCCCACAACTTCCCCCAAAGAATTGCCATGGGAGAAATGCTGGTGGGACAGAGCAAAGGCTTAACCTTCCTCACCCACACACCTTCTGTGGGATGGGGAGTGAGAAGTGTCCCTGGTCCTCTGTCCCCTTTCCTTATCCAGTGGAGTCAGGTGATGGGAGTGTTTTTAGGAAGATTGATCCTCCTGCTTATGGCTGCCAGTGCTCCCAGGGACTCCTTGCTCATGGCCTTGGACTGACGCTCCCTTGGACAGGAGTTGAGAGCCCCTTGGAGGGGGATGGGCTCTGGGAGTTTGACACCATGAGGGGGTGAGTTTCTTGTTGTGGAGCAGGAGGGCTGCAAAGAGAAAGTGCCTGTTTTTTGAGTTACTGGTTTCTTTTTTTTTTAAGATTTTATTTATTTATCTTTAGAGAGGGGGAAAGGGAAGGAGAAAAAGAAGGAGGGAAACATTGATGTATGAGAGACACATCTGTCAGTTGCATCTCACATGCCCCCCAACCAGGAACCTGGTCTGCAACCCAGGCATGTGCCCTGACTGGGAATCGAGCCAGTGACCCTTTCGTTCGCAGGCCGGCACTCAATCCACTGAGCCACACCAGCCAAGGCTGTTTGTTGTTTTAATATTTAGCTTTTTTGTATTTTTATTATAAAAGAAAAACAAGATAAATAGAACATCAGAAAAAAATAAATATCCCAATATTAGATGTAACCAGTTGATTTTGTGATATATATCCATATATTTGTTATATATGTATATATAAAATTTAACAAAAATAGGATCATGGCATTCATATTCTTTGGTAACTTATTTTTTCCATTTATGAACAGCTTTTAATATCATTGAATGTGTGTATATGATATTGTCATTTTAATGGCTGCCATTTTGCCATGTTAAGATTCCATTGTATGAAGTATCATAATTTAACAAACCTTCAATTCAGTTACTACATATTCTTGCATACTTATTCAATTATTTTTTAAATTGCTAGGAAATTTTCCTCTTCAGAGATGTGTCATTATCTTGTATAACCTCCTAGATATTTTATGCATATATCAGCAAATACATATTGATAATATTTCCCTTTTGTTATATAAACGATGTCATACTATACACATTGTTCTTCACTTTGCTTTTTTTCCCTCAATGCTATGTTGTAGATCAATCCATATCTGGGTCAAAGGGTGTGCAGTTTTTTTAAGGCTTGCGATACACTCAGTGAGATGGCATTTTTCTCCTATCTTCATTCAGCTTCAGGCAGAAAGACCTGTCTTCAAAGTGTCCCTGTGTGTCTTCCTCCTTGAGGTATTCCTAAGATATCTTTTTCCTCCCTTCCTCTATCACCACATGAATCCTCACTTCCCTATAGGCACTAGGCTCATTATGACAATTGGAGATCCTCACAAACAGGAAAACTACTCCCCTCTTGGTGTTCCTCCTTGAACAAAATACATACACCCACATCCCCAGTCTATGCCAAATTTCTTGAGAGGCTTTTTATTTTTTAACACATTGTTTCAACAGTAAATATATTCATGTTCATATATATCGTACTCAGTAGATAATATATGCATATTCATATGGTTGAAAATTTGAAAGTTACAGAAAGATATATAGTAGGAAATATCCCTCCCTCCCACTCCTCTTGCCCAGCACCTGCTTCATCTCCTAAGGGAGAGATAAATCAGTCTTCCAGAAATATTTCATGCCTGAAAAAACAAATGTGTGTGTGTGTGTGTGTATGGTGTGTATGTAAATGTGTATATATGTGTGTGTGTATTCTTTTTCCTTTTAAACATGAACAGTATCGTACTAAAAACTATGTTTTACAGTTGCTTCTTTTACTTAATATTATAGCATATTAAATCACCCTCATATTATGCACACCCTCATTTCTTTTGATGCTGCATAATATTCCATTATATTAGTATACATACTATAGTTTACCTATCCAGTTCCCCGTTGATGCACATTGAGGTTGTTTCCAGTCTTACCATCACCAGCAATGCAATGAATATGTTGCTTTGTAGGCATGTGAGTATACTCATAGGATAAATACCTGGAAGTCAAATTGGTGGGTCAGAGTGTTCTTAAGGGTCTTAATCTCAAATAGCTGTCATATTTGGAATGATATAAAATAATTCCTCCAAACTTGTTAGCATATTAGTAGAACTCTTGAAGACTAAGAAGTCTTCAGTACTTGGAACTTTAAGTGTTATAAGCGAGCTAGAGAGAGAATTCGGGGAACACAGAACTTCCTACAAATGTAACTAGGTAACTCTTTACTGAAGACCCAGTATGTGCTAGGGTCTTTGCTCAATACCAGGAAGACAAAAATACATAAAACACAAAGACCTAACAGTGGAACAGGGGAGATTCTTCTGTCAATAAGATGGTGTGTTGTGTCATACCAGCAGCATAGCGAAATCTGGAGATTTGGGGAAGACTTTACACAGTTAGTAACACTGGATCTGGACCCTGAAGGATAAGCAGGACTGTGCAACGTAGAGGAGAAAAAGCTTATTCCATGCAGAAGTTTTAGCATAGGCAAAGGCCAAGAAGCCTGCCGGTACCTGGCCTATTTGGGGAGCCACCGGCCTAACTGGAGCGTGGGGGCACGGTGAACAACCGGAAAGGAGTGTTAGCAGGTTCTAAAAAGCCTTCAATGTCATACCAAGAAATAAGAACTTATTTTGTAGGCACTAAGGAGCTGTCAAAGGTTTTTGAGTAGAGAAATGGTATTTGAGTTTTACAAAGAAAACTGACACATTGTGGAAGATGGGTTGGAAGTCAAGAGAGTATAGTGCCGTTAGGTAACAGACAATAAGCAGCTGATGATACGGAAGCATGGTTTACCAGGCATCTGTGAAAGGCAGCTTTTCATGGAATGTTATTTTAATAAAGTCCCACATCACCCATGTAAAGCAGACATTACTACCCCTATTTTATAGATGAGGAAGCCGGTTCAGCAGTATTAACTAACCTTACTATCCATATTAAGATCACACAGCTATTAAGAGATAAGCTCTGGTTCTTTCTACCGTACCATGCCGGCACAGGGGAATAGAAGAGGGTAGATCTGAGACATTATGGTGGTAGATTCACCCAACATTAGCAACCAAATATTGATGTAAAGTATGGGAATTATCCAAATGGTTGGCGCCTGGATAAATGGTAATACTATGAACTGAGATGGAAATGCAAGAAGAGCAGAGGGAAGGAGGTGAAATGACCTCATACGTGGACATGTTGAGTTTGTGGTACCTGAGGGACATCTAGGAATGGAAGTGTCTAGAAGGCAGCTAGAAATAAAGGTCTTAAGGTCAAGAACAAAAGAAAGCTAGTGAATAAAATTTAAGACTTCTTAGGACAGATGTGAAAGCTGGAATTATAGGGACAGAGCAGATAGCTCAGTGAGGAGGCCTGGGGTGAGGACACCCATGTTCCAGGAGGAGGAGCAAGTCGCGGTTCTCAGGTGCCTGCCTTCCTCCCCATCTCTGCCCCCAAACAGTGATTCATCAGAGAGTGGCATGCTGTCCCGCTTGGGCGATCTGCTCTTCTACACTATCGCTGAGGGACAGGAACGGATCCCTATCCACAAGTTCACTACTGTAAGTTCCTCTCTACCTGCTCAGAACCCTAATCCCTTGGGATCTCTTCAGAGTGGGTAAGGAGGGTAGAACAAATGCAGGGCAGCTAATAATGGGTTGCTTCCTGAGGATGAAGAATAGTAGATGCCTAAGCTGATGAGACATTCCTGTCCCAGGGTGGGAAGGTTAAACCCTCTGACTCAACCCATCTTCTTGGTTTGGGACTTTGGCCCAAGGAGTTCAGAAACCAGCTGCCTTCATGAAACAGGGTAGGAAACCCCCTGTAGCCTTCGAAGCTGCCCCATCCCTTCCTTCCTTAGTAAGCAAACTCAATTGTTACACCTAATGCAGTAGTTAGGATTGAGCTCATTGTTATCCATCAGGGAAGATTATTAGGAATAAATTACAGTTCTTGTAGTTGACCTTACCAGCTTCTCCTTTACCCCAAAGGCACTGAAGGCCACTGGACTGCAGACGTCAGATCCCCGGCTCCGGGACTGCATGAGCCAGATGCGCCGTGTGGTTCGAGAGTCCAGCAGTGGTGGCCTCTTAGACCGAGATCTCTTCCAAAAGTGAGGACCTCAGAAACGAGAACACTTCTCTCACAACTGTTTTGGGACATATATTGTAACAGCAGGGAGGAATCTTCAGGATTGGATAGTTAAACCCCTCGTTTTATTATTTATTTGTTACACGAGTTACACATGAGTATGCATATGCTCATTATAAGAACTCCAACAATGTAGAAACACATGGTCTCCCTTCCCTGTCTCCCCAATCCCAGTTCCATTTCCAAGATGTAAATAATATTAGCAGATTAGTATCTTTATTTTTAATTTTATGTTTTTATGAGGGGGGGAGAGAAACATTGATTTGTTGTTCCACTCATTTATGTATTCATTGGTTGCTTCTTGTATGTGCCCTGAGCAGGGATTGAACCTTCAACCTTGGCATATCAGGATGATGCTCTAACCAGCTGAGCTACCCAGCCAGGGCTTAGTGGCTATCTTTTGAATAATGTCCTATGCATTTACATACATACAGGAACATATGTAAATATGTTTATATGATTTAGGGTTTTTAAAATATAAATATTTAATTAAAATATAAAGATTTAGGATTTTAAAAATATTATTTAGGTATTTCTTTTTCTTGGGATATCTTCCCACATTATTCCAGCCCCTCATTTTAGAGGCAAAGAAACTTAAGGCCCAGAAAAATAATGTGATGCATCAAAGATCACACCACTATTGGTCCCCAACCTGATGACCCCTCACACCTTATTTATTCCCAATTTCTGTGGCTCCAGAGTGAGTCACAGCTGCATCTCTCCAGCTCCCTAACCCACTCATGTCTGGAATCCAGGTGTGTGAGCAGCAACATTGTGCTCCTGACCCAGGCATTCCGAAAGAAGTTCGTCATTCCTGATTTTGAGGAGTTCACGGGACATGTGGATCGCATCTTTGAGGATGCCAAAGAGCTCACTGGAGGCAAAGTGAGGGCCAGGGGACTAAGGGAGTGGCAGGGACTGTGGGCCAGATATGCCCTGCTTCTCAGAGGTTTCCTGGGGCTGGGAATCCAGTGGATGAGGGATGAGAAACAGAACCTCTAAAAATGGGATAAGGGCTTTATATGTATTTCTATACATGTGATTTCTAGAACAGTGAGGCAATCTGAGGTTTTTACAGGGACATTTGGCATAAGGACTCAGTAGGACTTTGAAAGAGACTCATACAGTGTTTGAGCCTAAGAACCAAAAAAGGAAGCTGACCCCAGAATTCTCTTTTTACTGTCCATGAGCTTCATTGTCATCTCTATAGGAGTGGGGCTATAGAAATATAAGGTCTTCCAGGACTTAAGACTTGGGTAACTCTGGGAACAACAGACAAGAGGGAATCCCATTGCCCTGCAGGAAAAATAATTTTGCTTTTTTTTTAAAGATTTTATTTTTATTTATTTTTAGAGAGAAGGGAAGGAAGGGAGAAAGAGAGAGAGAGAAACATTGATTGGTTGCCTCTCACATACCCCCAACTGGGGACCTGGCCCACAACCCAGGCATGTGCCCTGACTGGGAATTGAACCTGCAACCTTTGAGTTCGCAGGCTGGCCCTCAATACATGGAGTAACACTGGCCAGGGCAAATTTTAGCTATTATCTGAAAGATTCTCCTGACCTTGAACCTCAGCTCTGTTCCCCTTCTCCACATCCATATCACCATTCTGTCCCTCTTTTCTCTACCCATTCATAAGCAGGTGGCATCCTACATCCCTCAACTGGCCAAGTCAAATCCAGACCTGTGGGGCGTCTCCCTGTGCACTGTGGATGGTCAGCGGTGAGATGCTGGGTGAGAGGGAGGGAGGGCACAGGTGCAGAACATAGGCCGCCTCTCATGGCCGCTGTCTACCTCCAGGCACTCCGTGGGCCACACAAAGATCCCCTTCTGCCTGCAGTCCTGTGTGAAGCCCCTCACCTATGCCATCTCTGTAAGCACCCTAGGCACTGAGTATGTGCACAAGTTTGTGGGCAAGGAGCCCAGTGGCCTGCGCTACAACAAGCTCTCACTCAATGAGGAAGGTGAGCGCTACCAGAGCTCACACCAGACCCAGAAATGCCCCCTTCCTACCCCACCGCTCACCCCTACGCTTTTTTGTTTGTTTCTCTGCCCTTCCTGATTAGCTCTGTCATTCCATCCTTCCCAGCAAAGAAATCTTTCTCTTCTAGCTGGTAGAGTGGGTGGCCTATAAATGTGGTTTTTCTCAGTGGCTAATAAGACTCGATGATTTGTATTTCCCCAGGAATCCCCCATAACCCCATGGTCAATGCTGGCGCCATTGTCGTGAGCTCCTTGATCAAGGTCAGTGCCACCCTAGCCTTCTCGAAACCCCTTTGTTCCTAGATGCCTCATATCTGTCCAGCTCTCCTGGGAGACCGGTAGCGCCTTGATTCCTCTGAGGATCCCCAGGAGGCAGTGAGGGCACATACTATGTTGAGGATGTTAGTAAAAGGAACTGTACCCTGCCCCCACCCACGAGTCTAGAGCCCAAAGCTTCCCGGCCCTTAGAAAAGTGAGCAGGCCCTGACCCCTGCATAGGACCGAGGGCCAAATGCCAGACACAGGTGGGAGGACAGCACCACTAGGCGCTGATTGGACACTTCTGGATGAAGGAAACACGGAAGGAAGGGTGAATGGCCAGGCCAGGGCAGCTACTCACGTCACATGGAACTGTGAGGACACACAGAAGGAAGGGTGAATGGCCAGGCCAGGGCAGCTACTCACGTCACCTGGAACTGTGAGCTGGCCTTGAGCAAGGGTGTCAGGCTGGCCTGTCAGCTGTAGGTCTCCCAGGGCTTGAGCAAGAACCTGAGAGCAATGTGGGCAGCGATACTCTGGAGCCAATCACAGCCCCTCCTGGGGAAGGTGGTGTTAAAAACGCTTCCCCCAGGGACTTAGGTGTCAGAGTCCCTGTGGTGTTGACACTGTAGCTGACAGGTGCAGGAAGTAATGGGGGTGGGGGCACCAGGCTCAGCACCCCCCGCCTTGCTCTGGGACAGCTCTACCTGCAGTTCTGTATCTGGGACCTGCCTCATCCCATTCCCATCTAAGGAGACCCTATCGGACTTGACTCCGAGTTAAAATCTTTAGCTTTACTTCAATTACGAATATAATTGATATGCTTGAATATTACAATATATGCAACACCCACCTTCATCCCATTCCTGTCACTCTAGTCTTGGCTATGGGAGTCAGGGAAAGGATAGAGTAAGGATCCAGCGTGGGGAGGGGGGTAAGGAGTGGGGGTTTGGGATCAAGAATAGGGGTGGGGGCCTGAGGGCAGGATTGGAATCAGGAAAATGAAAGTGGAAGTCGGGGAGGAGGGTTGGGGTTGAGAATGGCAGTGGGGATGAGTGAGGTTCATAGATGGGGGGAGGCTATTTCTATTCATTACTTTGGTAATAAAATCTACCAGAGAAGTGTGAGTTGTTTTTAAGAAAAAAGTCATTGTAAAATGTAACAGATTCCCAGTAGCAAAACCAGTTTAACACTTCCACTGGGTCCTTCTGACCCTCTTCTGTCCCCTTTGGAGGCTTGGAATACAGATCTCTCTCTCTCTCTCTCTCTGTGTCTCTCTTTGCAGATGGATTGTAACAAAGCAGAGAAGTTTGATTTTGTAAGTTTCCTTGCTACTCAGCTCCTGGCTGCTTTTCTCCCTGGCACAGTTGTGCTCTCCAGCCACCCCAGTGCCTGGCTCTAACCCCACTTTGATAGCGCACCAGCCCATTCTAGAAGCCGTCTTTCCAGAGGTGTGGGGATCTGCTGGCCTCAGAGGAGAAAGCTACCTGAAGTCCTTGCTGGGATAAGGACTGGGGAGTTTGGAGGGTTAACCTCATGTGTATCCAGTAGGGGTCCTCGCCCACCTGGTGCCTTCCATGCCCCTGTCTCTCTTCTAGGTGTTGCAATATCTGAACAAAATGGCTGGAAATGAATACATGGGTTTCAGCAATGCCACGTAAGGCCTTGTCCGCAGGATTGGCTGAATGCATTGTGGGTGTATGTGTGACGGGGGTGCGGGGGTGGGGGGAGATACAGAAGGCGGGTGAGAGAATCTTCGGAGGAAGAAATCCCAGGGGAACTTTGGCCTTTCAGCTTCCTCTGAGCCCCTTTATTGGCTTTGTTTACTTTGGAAAAGAATTTGCTCCATTTCTTTACTATTTACGTATTTATTTTTAGAGAGAGGGGAAGGAAAGGAGAGAGAGAGGGAGAGAAACATTGATGGGTTGCCTCTTGTGCACGCCCAACTGGGGACCTGCCCCACAACCCAGACATGTGCCCTGACTGGGAATCAAACCAGCAAACCTCTGGTTCGCAGGCCGGCACTCAGCCCACCGAGCCACACCAGCCAGGGCTGCTCCGTTTCTATTAGTAGTGAGTGAGGGAGGTGGTGTAAGGATTTCTTGCTAAGCCCCTCAAAACCAAAATCCTCACCAGTTTTCCTAGCCTAGATGACTAAACAATTTGAAGTGTTTTGTTTTTCATGCTTTATAATAAAGTTCTGACCAGTGCTTGCTGGTGTTCAGAAGTTTCCCAGTAGTACTGTAAGAAATTATAAATGGGCTGATTCAGTTTAACATGTGCGATCTAGTTATGTCTCTCCCAGGGAAGGTATTTTTTTTCCCCTTCTTCTCACACCCGCCCCTCAAACATCAAGTACTAAACTGGGTGTTTGCTTCAGATTCCAGTCAGAGAAGGAGACGGGGGATCGGAATTATGCCATCGGCTATTATCTAAAGGAAAAGAAGGTACCTGGGAGAGGCCGGTAGAGAAAGTCCCTGGGAATTCTGTGGCTGGGGGAAGGGCAGTTGGGGTTGGGGACTTTGGCTGAGATCCTGACAGTGTGACAGGGATGACTGACGGCCTGAAGAAAAAACGTTCTCCCCTCTTTTTCCTTGCAGTGCTTTCCTAAGGGGGTGGACATGATGTCTGCCCTTGATCTCTACTTTCAGGTGAGCAAACACTGCCATTCAGCTCAGGGCCTCAGGGCCAAGGAACAGGACAGACTATGCTCCTTGCTCTGACCCAAAGCGATGCTCTTCCCTAGCAACCAGGGGAACTTGTTGAAAGATCAGGATGCCAAGAATGTTGCTCTACATTCAAGAGCACAGTGTTCAGGTCCACACCACACCCTCGCCTCTGCCTTGTCTCCATAGCTGTGCTCCGTGGAGGTAACCTGCGAATCGGGCAGTGTCATGGCGGCCACCCTGGCCAATGGCGGGATCTGCCCCATCACAGGCGAGAGCGTGCTGAGCGCGGAATCGGTGCGCAACACCCTCAGCCTCATGCACTCCTGCGGCATGTATGACTTCTCTGGCCAGTTTGCCTTCCATGTGAGTGTTCTCGCCCTCCCATCCATTTATCACAAGCCCATGGCCCAGAAGAGAGGATACTGAGTCTCTAAAGGTGGAGAGGTAGAAGCTTATTCCTGCTTCTCATTCACTAACTTCCAGCCAGGCAATTAGGCCAAGAATCCTTAGGGGTTTGTCAAACACGTCAAGTCCCTCAAACACACAAACACATGATGTTGCAGCTTCTGAGCCACTCTTCTGCTGCCCTTCACATGGCTGGTGCTCCTTCTGTGGGTTTCAGTTTAGAGTCACTTCCAAAGAGAGGCTTTTTTGATCACCGTCTTAAGTGGGCCCCCTCACTTCCTTCTCTGTCGTAGCACCCTACATCTTTTCTTCTGTGTTACCGTAAGCTGTAATTATTTTTGTCTATTTGTTTATCCATTTACTGTCTGTCTCCTACTGTAGGGATATAAGTTAAATGAGAGGCTCTGTCCTAGCATTAGTCCTAGCATTAGTCACAGAGTAGATACTCTATAAATATATCCTCACTGAAGCCATGAACTTAAGCAGGGGAGGACAGGAATAAGAAAAGCTAATTAACAAGCTAAAAGGTGGAGACAGGTGTGCCGTTGCCCATGCCATCATTTGGGATAGACTGTTAACCCAGGCTTGGGGCTCTAGCTCATCCTCAGTTTCAACTCTGTCCCCAAGGTGGGCCTGCCAGCCAAGTCAGCTGTGTCAGGAGCCATCCTCCTGGTGGTACCCAATGTCATGGGAATGATGTGTCTGTCACCTCCACTGGACAAGCTGGGGAACAGTCACAGGGGTATCAATTTCTGCCAGGTGAGTTACTTCACATGTAGTACTAAATATTCTTGAATGAGTAGCTAAAGCAATTTTTAGCTCCTACAGTACTAAGTGCAAGGAGTAAATAAATAATCTCTTTGGCTTACAATTTTAGAAGTTGGTGTCTCTCTTCAATTTCCACAACTATGACAACCTGAGGCACTGTGCTCGGAAGCTAGACCCACGGCGCGAAGGGGGAGAAGTCAGGGTAAGGAAAACCCCAGGTGGTTTCTAAGAATATTTCAGAATAGAACATTCCATAACACTTAGCCAAGGGAATACCCTTGGCTAAGCATCCATGGAGGAGGGTCACAGGGCAGAGCTGGGCATGGGCAGGTTTAAAGTCACAGTTAAGCTCAAGTGGGTATGATCTATTTTCCAGAACAAGACTGTGGTGAACCTGTTATTTGCTGCCTATACTGGAGATGTCTCAGCTCTTCGAAGGTACTTCTGTGACCAAATAGTAAGATACTCATGGTCAGAGATCTCACAAGGAGTCATCATAGCAAAATAGTTAAGTGCTTCAGCTTTAGAGTCAGATAAAATGGACACATACTGCATGTAAATGAGTTTTCAAAAAACAGTGCCGTGTGATAAGACCTTAATTAATGGTAGCCACTGTTACGATTAACCTGGGTGTTAAGAGCAAAAGTGGTAGGCAAGGACCCAGCCTTAAATGGATTACCAACATTGGCAAATACGTACTGGGTACCTACCACGGGTAAGCAGTGATGTTTCTGGAACCATCTCTCTGATGTGGGAGTAAGTCTCATCAGGGTAGAGAACACAAATTGTGCAATGTCTGTAGATCTTGGCCTAAGCGCTGGAACCTATCCAGTGTGACCCCACTTCAGACAGGGCCTAAGTGACTCCAGGCTGATCTGGGTTGCTCCAGCTGCTTTCCACTACCCTCAGGTTTGCCTTGTCAGCCATGGACATGGAACAGAAAGACTATGACTCCCGCACAGCCCTGCATGTCGCTGCAGCTGAAGGTATCTGCAGGTTAAATAAGAGGGGAAGTAGACCGTAAGACCCTTCCTTTAACACCAAGAGTACCCCTCATTGGGTACACCCTCCAAGTCCCAGGGGCAGTCACTTGTTTTGTCTAGATGCCCTCCAGTTTGCAGGCTGTTGTTGGGTGCTGCAGGGAGCAAAATGGGAAGAGACCTCTTCCGCTCCCTTCTTGGTTCAGAACTCCAGCGGCCAAGGATCTGCAGCGATGTTAAAATGAAAAGGTTCAAGAGCTATACCCTCTCATTTCCCTTCTGCCCCTATTCCTAGGACACATTGAAGTTGTTAAATTCCTGATTGAGGCTTGCAAAGTGAATCCTTTTGTCAAGGACAGGTGAGTAGGATTAACCTAAAAGGGGCTCGGGGTGGGCAGCAGTTTCTTCCCTACTGCCCTCCCGCCGCCACCGTTCTGTGTAGAACCGGGCGGGCCACTCTCTGGGTCTTCTCTGCTCCTCGCAGGTGGGGCAACATTCCCCTGGATGATGCTGTGCAGTTCAACCACCTGGAAGTGGTGAAACTGCTTCAAGATTACCAGGACTCCTACACACCATCTGAGACTCAGGCTGAAACAGCAGCTGAGGCTCTGTCTAAAGAGAACTTAGAGAGCATGGTGTGAGCATGGAGCACACCCAATCCCTGCTCAAGAAAAAGCACGAACTGGCCACACATTTAACCTATAACCACCACACACACACATGCTATGGAGAGCTGCACTGTTTCAGTGGGGACCAAGACAGGCCAGTGCTGTTTGTGAGGGTCAAAATACCCCGTTCCCTTGACAGACAGAGCATAGAGAAGTGCCTTGGTGGATACCTGCATTAATTAGAGCTATCCATGGAGTCCGTGGGCTTCTTCAAGGCAGAGCCTAATTGCCTGGCCCACTCCAAACCTTCCCAGGTCTTCATCCAGGTCCCCTCTTCCTCTTCCTGAAGAAACCATCACATGAGAGACAGACAGTGGTAAAGAGGCTCTAGTCACCAGGCACATGTACATATCCACAGGGCTATGCCCCAGGCTTTAGTTGTCTGGAGAAATCTGCCCCCCTTGGCCAGGAAACAAAAGTTTTATAGACAGAGAAAGTATTTTATGCTCAAATAAACTTTAATTACACAAATGATTATTTTTGCTAAATCCAGTCCTTCTCTTTCTCCCTTAGAGGCATTCAGGTGCATCACCATTATAAAGGTGTACGATGGAACCACAGGGTCAGGCAGAAAAATACATATTTCACATACATACTCACCCCACCGGGTTTTCTTCAAGCCCTAATACTGCTTTAGCTTAGGTGTATTCTGCTGCCAAGGTGGGGGTAGGAGAGTGGGGGCTTGGGTCTGAGTGGGCCCAAAAACGGATTGTGCAAGGTCTCTCTCCCTCTGGAAGTTCCAACTGTAGCAGAAATGAAGGAAGACCTTCTCAAGAATAAAGTTTGCAGCACTAATCCCTTCAGTATTCCGCAAGTGTCTCACCTTAATCATGGTTGTAACTGGCCCAGTGATTACAGTGAGTGCTCACTTCAGCAGCACATATAAGCAATGATTACAATGGATTGACCAGGTATCAGAGGTGTGCAGATTAAGGCGGATGGACTCACGGACAGCTGCAGCTGTGTGGGACTGAGAGTCTAGCTTTGAGGTACTGGGGAAGGAGGGCTCTATTCTTACTCTAACACAGCCAGTAAACATTTCCTGAGAGACCCAGAGCCCAGACTCGATGTGCTTTAGAGAAAGGGCCAAGTCATTGATGCACCACTCCGGCCAGAGGTAGAATGGACTTACTGTGGAGAGATTCCATAGAGCCCCAAGATCAGAAGTTACACGTGGGCAAAGGGAGAGAGAAGTGTTAGTGATGAATAAATTCAAACAAAGCTGCAAGTTAAGTCCCCAGGACTGAATATAGTCTGAGAAAGCCTGGGCACAGGGAGGCAGAGGGACTGAAGGAAGCAAATCAGAAAAAATACATTCATGGTAGCCTAGGAAAATTGGCAGTAGCCTAGCTTCCATAGGTAGAGGAGAGGAAAGTGACTAAGATATTGCACGGAGGATGCAACACCAAATTGTGGGAGCTAGAGGCCGCGTGAGGCAAAGTTAAAAGGTTTCAGACACTTTCAGGAGGAGGCTGGCCAAGGGCGTGATTAGGGACTCCAGTGACGGACGTTCTAGAGGCCTGCAGGCACCTCAAGCCCTGTGTGGGTCAGCAATTCTCCATCCCAAAGGGCAAACGCAGGCACCACTGGACCCTTAAAATCTGTCTTTAGCGTGTGGACCACAGCAATCCGGCTCACGTCCACCAAACTCAGCTTCTGGGCTTCATACTCCAGCAGCAGTCCCACCTTCTCTGGCTGCCCGATGCCCTCAATAGGGGCTTTCTCGTTGGCCAACATGGTATGCCACCTGCGCTGGGCATAGGCGAACACCCAGGAACGATCGTCAGCACCGATGCAGCTATCCCGAGAGATGTCCACATCTGCCACTCCCACCCGGAATTGCTGGGAGCGCTTCACTGTCACCTCCCAGTAGTGCCTGCCACTGCTGACTGCTGTGTCTGCCAGCACCACTGCCCACTCCCGGAAGCGCTCTACATTCAGGGCCAATTTGGTGGGCTCCAATCCCACCAGGCCGTATTTGACACCTGTTCCATCTTTGAAGAGTGTCAGGCTGCTGTGGGCGGTTTTCTCTTCCAGTTTGAAACTGACTCCTGCAGGAAGAGCAAAGAGACTGGATGATGACAGGGGCTCGAACCCTAGAACTAGTGATATATACATATTCCAATCTGAAGCAGGCGGTCATGATGAGATCACGAAGAAGCAGGGAACAGTCAGAATGTCACGCGTGCAAGAGAGTGGGGGCGCTTTAGGACGGACAGCCCAAGGTGCCGAAAAGCTCGGACGGGCTAAGCCCTGGGTGTTAAATAAACCAGATAGTGTCATAGGTTTGGAATCAACATGAACGCAAGTGGGAAAGGGAAAGTGACTCAAGAGGGATCTGGGAATAGCAGACGAAAACCACTTCGAGGTAAAAGGGAGTAAAAGAACCTAAGCCTACCTCTGCGAGCTTCTACGGCAGCAACCCCTAATCGTTTGGCGCCCCAGCGGCACAGGCACAGCGAACGTGCAAAGGGCAGCGCCATCTTGCGTCCTGGAAAAACAGGGAACGCCCCCACTCCGCCCCCAGCCTGAGACCCCGCCTCCTGCCCTCCAGCTCCGCCAGCACGTAGTGCGCGAGAGGCGGTCGCGCGGTATGATGACGTCGAGAGCCAGCGCCCAACAGGGAGCCGCCATTTTAGTGAATCACCGGAGGTGGTTACAGTTCGTTCCGTTTTTCCTTGGAGAGGAATTCTACTCACATTTTAACTGAAGAGGACGTTTGGGGAGGTGGTGTAGCACCATGATTAAAAGTGGTTTTAGAATTAAACAACAGTTGGATTCGAGCCCAGCGCTGCTATGTGGCTTTAGACAAATCACTGCTCTGAGCCCTAGTGTTCACATTTGTAAAATAAAACTACCTAGCCGGCAAACCTTAGTAAAAATTAAACGAGAGGACAGCCTAGAATACAACTTGATAAGTAGCAACCAGTGGGTAATTGGTAGTTGTTTTAATAAATATTACATACGTAAGTACTGTGTTGGTTTTGTATTTTCAGGACTGGGAATGGAGGGTTTAACTCAATACTCGGTTTTCCCAGCTTAACCAAAAACATCACTATTTTGGTTGAGTGAAAGGGTATGAGGTACTTGATTATGACATTTAACATTTTCACCTGCTTGAGACACTATAATCCTGCTTTCTAAATTTTTCAATCTGTGCACCTCTTTTTTTTTTATTTTTTTTTTCATTACCATTTAGCCCCCTTATTCCCCACCCCGTGCACCTCGCAATGCTCTGCTGGCCATCCCCATATCAACATTCCATCTCCATTCTCTTGTCCCTCAGAAAAGCAATTTTAGGTCCTTAAGGGCCAAAAAAATTAACCAAAAAGTCTCCAACCCCAGAGATCCAACCACCATTCCTGTGGAGATGGCACTAGTTCAGGCCACAGTCATTCTTGGCCTCAGTTGGGGCTTTCTCTTGTTAACAGGGTGGCTTCTAAGCTGTTTTCCCAGCTTCCATCTGTCTGCTTTAATCCAATGTCTGCACTACAGTCAGTGATATTTTTAAATCACAAATCTGATCATGCCACTTCCCTACTGAAGTCTTTTAATATGCCTTCATCAAATACCGTGGCTTGGTCATAAGGCTAAACATGATATGACTACTGCCTCTGTTCATTTTTTCTCACAAAACACAGTCCCTCTTTAAAAGGGCTACAGTCTAGTGAGGGGATAGATGAGAATATTGGCAGCCGCAATAAGATGCACTAAGGGCCATGATTTAAGTGACTACAGGATGCTCAGTAAGCAAAGGAGAAGCCTCTGATTCCTTGTACACGAAGTGTTAGGGAGAGACTTTCAGAAGCTGTAGCTATGACTTGAAAAGCAAAAGAGGTTGAGCAGGTGAAGGACCATCAGCCTGCAGAAGATCTCAGCTGAAGTCTTCCCCAGTATACATACACCAGAGTATCTCATCTATAATGGTATAATGATGGGGATCACCTATTGGAGAAGGAATCCCAGAAACTCTACCCCATACTTCTTTCCTGAGATCCACACCTGCCTGTATATCCAACAGCCTATTGGACCTTTCTACCTAAATGTCCCCCAGTCAACTCAGTTTCAACGTGTCTAAAGCTGACTTCCTACATAAACTTATTCTGTCTAGATTCCCTGACTCTGAACTACAACACATAACCGGCCAGTTTTCTAGGCCAGAAACCTGAAAGTCTATGACCTTTGTCTCCTTCTCACATACCTGATTGTAACTGAATCCCTTTCACATTATTTCTCCCCTGGAGTACTGCATTAGTCTTCCTTAACTAGTCTCCCATTCTCCTCGGTGCTGTCAAGAGGACATTTAGAGACGCAGTTACCTATTTCATCCATTAGATTGTGAATTCTTAAGAATAGGGATTAAGCCCTTTGTTTCTGTGCCCCCCGAGTCTCAGTTTTCCCAGTAGTACAAAGTAAGTGTTCATGGATTTTGAATGAATGAATGATTGAATGAATGAATGAACGAACGAACGAATATAAAGTGAGTTTTGTGCCATTCTTGGAGTGCAGTGGCTCATTCTTTCCACCAGGGGTCAGCCTGGTCCAGCCTTTTTATCTGGCTTGATCTGTGAGAAACTAGGTTCTACTCCTAGGAGCAAAGGGATAGAGCAGAGAGTTCATCCCGGAAGGTCCTCCTCTATCAGTACTTTTTGCATTTTGGTAATAATGAGAGGAAAGCTTCAGGACTGTGTTTCTCTAGGATTTCTCCTGTGGTTCCATCTGGTCGTGAGAGCTGAAGCAAATAGTTTCTTACCTGTCATCTCTTGCATTATTTCACTTTTACAGACGGACTATCCATCTGATAAACTCATTTTCATCACTCCGACAATTTATTTGCCTCATTGCTAATGAACAAGTAATTAATTCTTAACATTTCCATGATAATAATTAGGAAGTGATAGAAATTTACTTGACAGACAAAAGGGGAGAAGACATCTAAGGTATAGGGGCAGTTTAGGTCTAGATTATGAAACAAACTGGCAGGTTTGAGGGACCACAGAAGCATGACGTTGTCAAGAGTCTCATGCTGGGGAGCTAAGGAGAGCAGTTGGAAAAGTTGAGGCTGGATTATGAAGAGTTACATATACCCTGATACGAACCTTTCAACTCTTCCAGAAAGTGGCCAGAGGTGACCCCTGCAAATGACTCGTTATTCACCCAGAAAATATGACAAAATCATGCAAATCAAGAGATTCAAATCTTCGTGTTCACTTCAAGTACGCTTGTAAAATTTCCCAGGCCTTCAAGGATGTGCGTATCAGAAAAGTCACCAAGTATCTGAAGGATGTCACGTTACAAAAGCAATGTGCACCATTCCATTGTTACAGTGGCGGAGCCAGGTGTGCCTAGGCCAAACAGTGGGGCTGGACTCAAGGTGAGTGTCCCAAAAAGAGTTTGCCACACATGCCTAAAAATTCAGAGAGTAATGCTGAATTTAAGGGCTTAGATGTAGATTCTCTGGTCATTGAGCACATCCAGGTGAAAAAAGCTCGCAGGATGCAGCACAGAGCTTACAGAGCACATGGGCCGATTATCCCATGCATGAGCTCTGCTTGCCACATTGAGGAGGATACATAGAAGAAAAAGATGTTGCAGAACAAACTGAAGAAACAAAAACTTATGACCTGAGAGTAAACTCAGAATAAAACACATATTAATAAATATAAAAGAAAAGAAAAGAAAAGAATCAGGTATTCAGGAGTTATTGAAGGGAATACAGGGAAATGACAAATTACTTTTATAAAGATAAAGCTAGAACCAACATGGACAGGGAGAAGATAATTAGTTGAGTTTTGGATAAGCTGAATTTGAGGTGTCTATGGGACATCCAGTGGAAAATGTTTTGTAGATAAATGGATATAATTGCAAGAGCACCCTAGCTGGGTAGCTCAGTCATTTAGAGCACCTTCCCAATGTGCCAAGGTTGTGGGTTTGATCCCCAGTCAGAGCACATACAAGAATCAACCAATAAATGCATGGATGGATGGAACAACAAGTTGATGTCTGTCTGTCTGTCTGTCTGTCCACTCCCCCTGCACCCTCTTTCTCTCTCTCTCTATAAAAATCAATAAATAGCCCTGACCAGTGACCAGTGTGGCTTAGTTTGTTGGGCATTGTCCCACAAAACAAAATGTCGCTGGTTTGATTCCCTGTCAGGGCACAGACCTGGGTTTTGGGTGGTCCCTGGTTAGGACACCTATGAGAGACAACAGATTGATGTTCCTCTCTCACATCAATATTTCTCTCCCCCCTCTCTCCCTTCCTCTCTCTCTCTAAAAAAATAAATATTTTTTAAATCAATAAATAAAAATTAAAAAATATATTTCAAGGGAGAGGTGGCCATAGGTGAGGTCATTCAAGGGGGGGGTATAAACTAAAGTAAGTGGGAGCCCTGGCCAGTGTGGCCCAGTTGGTTGCAGTGCATCCCATAGACCAAAAAGTCAGGGGTTCTATTTCCGGTCAGGGCACGTGCCTGAGTTGCAGGTTTGGCACCCCATCGGGTATGTATGAGAAGCAACCAATCGATGTTTCTCTCTCACATCAATTTTTCTCTCTCCTACCCCCATCTTCTTCTCTAAAAGCAATGAAAAAATATCCTTAGGTGAGGATTTAAAAATAATTTAAAAAAAAAATAAAGTGCGGGAAAAAATGGAGATGCAATCCTAGGGAATACCAGTACCTGAGATAACATTTGTAAGTGCTTAGTGCTTAGAACAGGACCTGACCTGTAGTGATCATTGGTCTGTCTGGCTTGGGGTTGTAACCATCTTCCTAAGTAAAGAAGTGGGGGAGGCAAGAACAGGACGGGCCAGTTCATTTTTACTCCATTTTTTTGGGTTACCCCATTTCTAAAATGTGGAAGCCCTGGCCCGATCCAAGTGCTAACTGCAGCCCCTAACTATGGATGGGAAAGAGATGATGCACTCAGAGACTGGTGATTGTTCTAGATTTTGCCAGGAATCAGCAGTCAGCAAAGCATAACCAGAGAAAGAGAGAGAAGGGGGCGGGACAGGAGCTAGCCAAAGGGGCTGCTAGGCTTGCTTGCGCTATGCTGGGGTCTTTGTCCTACTGAAACTGTCCACGCAATGGAGCTGGGTTACATGCTGACCTCGCATTCTGAGAATGGGGCTGCGATAGAGATTTCACACAGTAGAAACAGAGACGAATGATCGCTCAGCCTCTCAGGGCCGTATCTCTACTCAACCGCGTTGTAATTGCTAAAGAGGATGTTCAATACTTGGTAATCATAAATTATGCTTATATCTGATTAATTCATGAATCAGTTCACTTATATTTTGACTTAGGGCAGATAGCTTAACATATGTATATTGCTCGGGTATATCTCATTTAATCCTTATACAATCCTATAAAATCTGCAAGGTAGATATTTTTATGGAACTCAAACGTGAGTTATTCTTTAGATCCTGATGATATGGGCTGGCTAGGGAGTTGCTTCAGAAAGATGGTGAATCAGCCCTGGATAACTTCGGAGGTGGCTACAGTAATCACATAGCGC